CTTTAACCATTTTTCTGTTCTTAATGTGTTCAGCCAACATTGATAGTAGTAACACATCCTCCTCATCAAGAACCTTGCTGTAAAACCACTTTTTGTTAATTAAAATTGATATTTTTTACCCAAGGAACATTTCAAAAAGTATTCCATCTTTATTACATACGTTTTGGTGTCCTGGTGAAGTGTTCTGCTCGATGTTTTTTTTTTCTTTCCTTGCTATCTTTTTTCCATCATCGAATTAAAATTAGCTTGCTTTTGCATTCAGCTTATCACAAAACATTTTCGGATTACTTTATTGGAAAAATTTAAATAACTTGACCGGACAAAAAAGATGTTCATACTGTTGGGCAGTTGCCCTTAGCAGTTAGGTTCTGACTTACGATCTAATCACGTCTTCACTTAATTCATGAGAAAAGTATTTACTTGTTTGCAAACCAAAAATTTAAAGCGATTGTTAATTGTAACCACAACACATTCGATGAGTAATAAACTGTCATGCCGGCAACCAGCGACGCGATGTTGCGTGACAATTATCACGAAATTGAAATGCGATACACTTGTTTGGAAGAAGTACCCCAAAAAGCATCTTAAAAGAGACGGCCAAATGCGGGCTGTGTTTTTTTTTTGTTACGCTGTGGTTACCAATACCAACATTTCAGCTTTAGAACTGTGTCTTAAAGATCTTGAGAATCGCTCATCCTCGTTTGCCTCCAATTATTTTCCGTCAATGTCAAGAAAACCCAAGCGATGATCCTGGTAAACACTCCCATGAACCTGCTCGTCATATTGGCGACTCTGTTATCGGAATAAATGACTTCCTGAATATTTTTGGTGTTCATATCGACGATAAGTTGTCCTTAACGACCACCCATTAACTTTTTTAAAGGAGGGCTATGCCAAGGTAAGAGCTCTGAGACGACTTAGAAAGCTGGTGCCTGCTGACATCGCACTTATGTTGAACAAGGCTTATACACTTCCACACTTGAATATTGTAGGCATTACCATGAGGGATTAACAAAACTTTGAACAAGAAACTTGAATCTGCAAACTATTAAGCTTTAAAAGCCCTTTTAAATTTCGGAAAAAGCTTAGATTATGATTTCATATTGTCAATGTAAACATTCAATCACTGGAACATGGACGGTACTATCAATCTCTTACCCTCCTTTTTAAATGTATAAAACGAAATAATTAAGGCTGACTATATTTCTGATTTATTCGAACCTCGTATATTGCTCGACAATTTAAGGAACAGAGATCACAGTCTCACGCAAACATCCTATAATAATCAATATTATCACAATTCTTTAATTTAGAAAGCTTCGTATTTGTGGAATCAGCTTCCTTCTTACATTAATAAATCGACTGAGTTGAGTGAATGTCGTAAGCATCTAGGTCTTTTAATCTTATAAACTTAAGAGCCAGTTGTAAATGCAATTTACTGTTTCTTAGATTGATTTTCTTAGGGTTTTAAGAGCTTCTGCCTGAGAGACCGGGGCAGGCTTGGAAATAGGGGTCGGCCGATTTGGCTCAAATTTGGTACACTTAGTCACTTATGCAAGTTTCAGCTCCATTGCTCTTATTTGGGCTGAGTTCTAGATGTTACCCTTTTTGGGGTCTCCCAATGCTTTTTTTATAGCCTATTTTGGGCACTTGTCAATACTTTGATTACAATGTCAGGGATATTTTAAGCCAAATATAAACTCACTTTTTATTATCTCTGTCCTTAAGGGTTTTATAGCAAAACATATGGATCAAAGAAATATTTCTGTTGTTTGTGAAATAATTGTTAAGTTAATGCTCTTAAAGACATTTTTAGTGAAACTGAAAATAACCCAAATTTAAGTCGGATTTACTTGAGTGCCCACTTTTGAAATAAAACAATTCCGACATGAGCAGAAAGTTTAGCCCTAGGTATGGGGAAAACAAGGAGAAAATACTAAGGTTACGGCTTTTTCACTGTGCGGCCTCTCTTTGAAGATGCTAATACAGCCACTTCCGGTCTAGTCTTTTTTCCCTTATAATTAAGCTTATATCGAGTATATTAGCCAAAAACTTTCCAATAACTTACCCTAAATAATACTGTCTGAAGCACTTTTACTTTCTAATTCCACCTGAACGCTAAAACTGGCAAAATATGAACATGCACCGCTGGAGATGCTCACAAAGACACTTCCGGTCCAACAGTTCACATGAGAGGATGGTTAAGTGAGGCATTTTTATATTCAAAAAATCTGTTTGGAGCTCTTTCATTTGCATATATTTCTAATTGCACTTAAAACTAAAGTTGGTTAAATATAGATATTCTCCCAGATTGCATCACTTCATCTAATTCTGGCTTCCTTTTGTGGATGGGTGAAAATTACAGAAAAGCGTATTTCAAAAAAAAAAAACCTCACCCTTCCAAGCCTGGTGAAAGCTGATCGAGCAAAGGAATTTTGAAAACTTATGACGGTAAAAAGGCGCTGTTATAGCTCAACACTGTTTTCATTGTTCATGAACGCCAGTCAAATTCAACAAGAATTCTGAACATATTTTCTTTGCTTTTTAGCCATTAAAATTCAACATTTACTATATGTAATAGGGTGACTGTTAACGTCTTTAAGTAATTGCATTAACAATGTTCAACACCTATCATGACAGTATTTGTAGCTCTTGGATCGGTGGGTGCCAATGTACTTGTCTAGTGCAAGAGCAAGTGTCCTTCCTTGCTTTGGATCCAGTAACTTCTACGCCCAGCGACAAACATGCCTTTTTCATTGTATCTAGTCGAAGGGTTTTGATCTTTCCCTCTGTAGCTAGATGGCATAAATGATGGCCCTGGAACAAAATTGGGTGATCTGCCTGTACCTGACTTTCTATGACAAGCTGCAGCAGTTGCAAGTTTTTGTCCTGGATGTCTGGCTCCTCATCCTCAGTTTCAATACCATGGTTTCCTTCATCAATGTTCTTTGCACGCTGAGACTTTGAGAGATTTGAGAAAAAACTTGCAATCTGCTTTGAGGTACGCCACTCATAAGGTTGGAATAATAAGCCACCAGTTATGTTTCTTACATGTTTCATTTCACGTTCAACCTGTTTTGGATCTGCTTTGTTGCATGTCTTTGCTCCATCATTGAACCTTTGGATTAAGTAGTTTCTAACGTCTTCAGACATCCGGCTTGACTTTTGGACGGTCTTAAGCGGCCATCCCTCAACTGCTTCTTGGCAATCCAAAACGCCTTCATAACCAGCCTGCATTGATGGAAAAGTGCGCTGTTTCTGTAAGCTTACGTTTGATAAGATGCTGGCCCACTTTTTCTTGATGACATCGTACGCAGTGTCTTGCTCCTGCACGAAGAGATGGCGTTCCGCATCTAAATGATGCTAAAGTTCTTTGTAGGTAGAAAACATATTAACACATCCTTCTTCCTCACAAGAGAACAGGCCGCCCGAAATGGAAGAATGTCCAGCCACTGAAGCCCCAGAGCAATTAGATGGTGACGAAAACTGATTAAGACCTTTTATTGCTGTAGCTCCTTGAGCATTGGTTGTAAGGGAAGAATACGGATAAAAATGACATTCTCCAATCTGATATGCTTTCCATGCCCGAATGCCATCATCAAAGAACATAAAATTGTTCAGGAAACTGATACCTGGGATCTTTTTCACCTGTGAATTTTGGGTCGATTTATCAATTTCAACGACTGCAAATCGACATCCCCTAACGCCTTCATGAGATTCAAGTGCAATTTTCATTTCTTCCGCAGCAGTGATGTCATGGCCCTCGTTTACACACCGTAGCATGTGGGTTTTCATCGAGGCAATTCTACGGTCGCAAACATCTTTGCCGGATTGCGGATCAGAGAAATCATAGCGCTTAAACTCCACTCCATGTCTTTCCCCCATGGCTTTGAGACTGAAGAGAAGCTCAGTGTTGTGATAACAACCGGCGTTATCAGAACTAATTACGCTAAGAACGTGTTCGACTTTTGACGCAACGCTGAACCAATCCTGGGTACAGGAGTCAAAGATGTGAACAAATTTGTCCACCTCAACTCTCCCCTCATCTTCGCTAGCTCTCTTAATCGAACAGGTCACATGCCATGCCAGCTTCTCCCACGCCTACCATAGAAGCCGTCCATCCTTTCGCGGAACTTCATTGGCAGAAATTTCATTGCTCAGTCCATGATCAAAAGGGTGCTTTCTTTATTAAGATTAGTAAGGACGTCTTGGTTAGCCTTTTCCTGGACTACTGTACGAAGCAAATGCGCCTTCCATAAGAGGATGGAATTTATGGCCCGTTTTTTGGTCATACTGAGATCTAGCCCTTTGTTCTTCTGTCAAGGGAACGTTCTTGTCATTTAACTTCTCATCGATTTTTCCAACTAAACAAGTAAGCCGTGCACATTCATGACAGGATAGTTCATGCTCATGGTTGCATGAACCAGAGTAGTCTCTATTATTCGGATCACTGAGCGAAAACGTGGTACAGTGATCTTTACATCTCTCTTTGCTGCCCGTGTGAGTTTTGTCTGTTTGATAGAATTTGCCCAGGTGACATCATTGCCATTATCTTGCAGCACGTTTACAATGGATTTCAACTGATCGAAAGCTTCCGCACCTTCTGTGGCGATGTAATCAAGTCCTTGTAACGAGACCTGCTTTGAAGCAGAGCATGCCTCCAATATTCGGAAGAGTGTACGTTCACTGTATGGCTCAAAAGTTACGCTCTCGCAGTAGCTTTGGTATTGCTTAATGATTCGGGATGGAATTAAAGTTCGCATAGCCGCTGGTATAAGAAGTTTCTCTCCGCCATCCAACTTCAACGACTTTGTACCATATGATACATCTTGCAAAAGGGAAGATGAATAAATAAAATCTAGAAAGTGATCAGTTCTCGTTGCATCAAGGCGCACTCTAATAATTTCTGGAGCATTGCTCGGCTTTCCTGGTCCTCTCAAGTCGGCGTGTCTGAGGGCATCATCGATTTGTCGTTTAGAAATACCTGGAATAATCTCCATTAGTTGGCTTTTGCTAAATGCATTTACAAACGATGATAGTATTTGCGTTCGTGTGTGTCTGTTATCAGCTAACTTGTAAGCCTCCACTAGCCTTTCTGTGATGTCGTCAGGCTTTTATTGAGAAAACGGCATGGACTTCATTGTAGCAAACCACAAATCGGCTTCACCTCCAGGAGCGAGACAGTTGAAAGCTGTTTCAATAACCTCTCTAGCCTTACGCACGTAATAACCCTGTTGCCGCTCTCCAAGTTCAGGCCATGGTAACACTGCTTCGTCAGTGTATAGGCTGCATTCAGAGCTTGTTTCCAAAGTTGAATCCAGAGAAAAATCTAACAGTGACGAACAGTGGGTACCTGACATAAGTGACTTGTCTTGATCAACGTATTTCAGTACTACTTCCACCTCCTCATCCTCTCCTCCACTTCACAAAACTTGTCTGCCCTGAAAATAAAATATTGATTGTACAGGTGAGAGCTGATGAGAGAGGATAATAACGTCACAGTGTTCGATTTGGAATTTTGATTCAAGGACCAAAACAAAAGCACCTGGTTTTCTGTCAGTGGTTGTCTTTACACGAGGTTGTCAAGTAAGACTTCAGAGATGTAGCCTGCATAGCAAGAGCCGGCTTTTCTTTTCTGTTTTTTCTTGGACAGGCCGCGGGAACACGCGCGTCCACGAGATTTTCTTCTTTCGCTCTAAAATCACTGGCGTCTGCTACGCAGGCTATGAGAGCTGCTAAGTTTTACTTAACCCAAAATGCTTGTGTGAAGGCCTAAGTAAAATCTCAAGTAATTTTACTTTGCATATCATTAAGGACGGAAAGTTGAAACGATTCAATAAAAGTCTCAAGGAACTTGAGAGCTTTGAGAAGGGCAAACCATGTCAATCAATCTTAATTACGTTGCGTGAGAAAATAGCCTTAAGTTAACCTAAAGTAAAAAGAAACGGTTTTGTGTCAAGCTTTATTTTACTTGAAGTATTTAAAATTCACTTGTCTCGATAAATATTTCTTAGCTTACTTCTGCTCTACTGTAAAGACTACTAATGCCAGCAAATAGTCACGCAATAGCAATTGTTGACATTGGTTGTGAGTTGTATTGCCCCTTACATCCCTTTCATCGCTGGAATATTTTATTTACTGCACTTTTCACAAACATGCGAATTGTGAAGTTCAAAAGCCATCTAACGATTGCGTTTTTTGCTGCCGTCAATCATCTTAGCGGACCTCTTAGGAAACAAAACTTTACTTTAACGGGTTCAAAAGGTCATGGTTTGTGATTTGTGATTGGTGGATTTCCATCCTTTTTGTGTGTTTCCGTGTTTCAAGGTTCGTTGCTTGTGATCGTAATTATGATTGACGGCAGCGAAAAACGCAATCGTGAAGGCGGCTTATGAGATTTAGAGTTCGCATCTTTGTGAAACGCGCAGTAAGTAAAGAAAACTCTCGGTTAATTTGACTCATCCGTATTTGAGGTTAAGGACAACAGCCCTGAGGATATTTTCACCCTTAAAGCCAACTGCAGTATGTTTGAGATTGAACGCGTGCGATTACAATATTTACATTACCTCTAGATCGATGGAAGTTACACTTTCGGGAGTTAAATGAAGTTCTGGAATCTTTTCGTTAAAGCAGGTCTTGCAAATGGCTTTGGAAGGAAAGGAAAAATGAATAATACATCAGATAGCTTATCGTTATATTTTAGGTTTATTCCATGGTCAATGGTACTTGAATTCTTGAATTTAGAATTTGACTTTGTTCATCACAAGGCTATCCCAAAATAACTCACGACAAACAAGAAATGTTCAGCATTACTTACGGGAAATGTTTGCAGTCACCTTCTTGGGTTTTTTCAATTTGGAAATTTCACCTTTATGAAGAGGGTGTTGACATTGTCCAGTTAGTTCTCGTAAACGTGTGAATTTACGGCGGTGACGCGGACAAATCATCATCTTCTTGATTTCCGCATTCCCGACACCACACCTTCCAGCTTGATTCAGTATTAGTTTGTACTCAGGAAAATGTTGAAGTCTGTGCGAGGCTGACGTTTTGGTGCCTCCAGCACCAACTTTAACCAAAAAGTGAGTTACATCGCGGTCTAGAGATGCTAAAGGCAGACTAACGGCTGGCTCACACAACTTTGAATTATCGCGAGCACCACAAAGGTTATCATTACTCCAGAAAGAACATCGAATTGATGACATTGTTTTTACTACCTCAGTAGTACAATTTTATACTTCCAAGGACTGCCAAGAGATACTGATCATGAGAATTCATCATTAACGCAATTAAATAAGATTTTAAATTTAATTATGAGCAACAAGTTCACGTGCAGTTTCCCCGAATTTAATTTTCCTAACTTGCCACTTCTTGTAAAAAGGGTTAAAGTGAAAAACTGCAGCGTAAAGAACGCTGTATCTTTTCAGATCATTGCTCTAAGCAAATTTGGGTGTATCGCGCAGTGACTTTTTCTTCTCACAAACAAGACTGCAGCAACAACAAAACCAAAACTCACGAGCAGCTGTGTAAAGCTCACCCTCCCCCTCCGCCCATCCTCTGTTTGTGCCTACTTATTCTCGAAGATACAAAGACACCTAGAGCTGAAGGCAAGTGAAACTATTTAATTTATGGACATTTTCTAGCTTTCGCGGAACCTAGATGGAAATATAAGATAAAAAAAAAAACAAACAAAAAAAATCTATCACTCTCAGATCATGACCTTGGGCTGCCTGTGCCCAAGGCGGGTGAGATGAACAACAATTCATGTTAGTAGGTGTGAGTCATGGGGAATATTGGCTCACTGGAAACAAAACAAATGTCAAACTCTGTGAAATGCAAAAGTAAGTCATAGCTAGCGGCAAGGAAAATTTATGTGGCGCGTGGATCGATGTGGTAGCGAAGTGGTTGCGGAGAGAGTTAACATGAAATGAATGTAAAGGCCCGGGTTTAATTATGGGTTTTGGGTTTCTTTCTTTTTACTGGAAACACTTTTTACTCAATAACAGTTTAAAATGGCATCGCTCTTTCACCAAAGGGAAATATTTGCCTTGCATATATTCGCCAGTACAGATGTTTTAAAAAAATCATAATATGGAAATAAAATGATACTGTTTGGTTTCGCGTTAAAACATTACGCAATTACACTTTTTTTCTGTTTTCCTTTGACTTTTTCACGTGGTTTTGTCACAATTTGAACCGACACGCGTCACTCTTGCGTAATGTTTTAACGGGAAACCAAACAGCATCATTTTATTTCCAAGTAGGTATATATTCAGCCGTTCTTAGCCACCATTTTGCCAGAACAAAGTATATGTATATATTAAGAGTGGTACACAAAAAAAACAGTTTACTTGTAAAAACCTTTGTGCTTTTTATATCTTTACATACTTTATTTTATTGTAGAGGGTAACTGAAAATGAAAAAGAAAAGGTGTCCTACATAGCAGTCTTTCAAATTTCCTTTTCGGCCGACAGGGAGTCGTGCAGAGGCATGGAGCGAAAGCAACCAAAAAATTAGGAGCAGGAGGAGGAGCTTATTTAGCCGGCCTTTTGCATGTATTTGTATATACAATGGTATAAGCGTGGTACACTTAAAAATCGGTTTACTTATAAAACTCTTTGTCGTTGTCGTATGAAAAAAAATGCCCAGGAAAATTTCAGATGAAAAGGATAGGGTTAAGTGATAAAAGGTCACATCGAATCAAGGAATGAGCTGAAACTAACATAGTTCACTTGACAATTGTATGTCAGGCTTATAAGTGGAAAACGGTAAAAATTGTACATTGCTAGTTTTATTAACACCTAAGTAAGATCACATGGGTACCTCGGTTAAAAATATTTAAATAACTATCAATTAATACCAGCTCTAGTTTAAAGGAAAAAGTTATGAGAATAAAATAGAAGTTGTCGGTACCACGAAGCATGCCTTCACTGTTTAGACTGAAAGTCCTAAAGCTTTTTTAGCATGTATTCGAATATCTTATGACGATAAGCCCGCTACCCACCCCACCCCGTGCCGTACTGTTTTCCCTCAGCGGCTGGTCAGCGGTCACGTTTATGAGGTAAACATGGCGATCACTTCCTGATCACCGTTCGTGTCGATTAGAAAATCAAAATACCAGCGTGATATGGCCTCGAAGATGAAGCAGTTATGTTATTTGATTCGTACTTCACATTCGAGTCAAAGCTTGGGTGGCACAGGTTATTTATTACAGTGGAATCGACGAGGGGAATTCGAAAATTAGTTGTAGTGTTTGATTTGTTGGAAGAAATGGTCGCATAGGGATGTAGGAATGGTAGATAGGTTTAACGAACAATTTCAAATTTTGGCCCTTGAATTGAAAGTGAAGTTCATTTGAATGCTTTCGTATGTATTTTTGACGGTTTTAGATCTACCTGCTCGATTTATATCTGCTACGCTTCATGTTGGCAAGTCCCTCAAAATGGCGGCCAAACTTGGAGATTGCCGAAAATTAGATAAGTTCACGGAGTTATAGAGTTTTAGTAAAGGTCGGGCCGCAAAGTTTTTTTCTTTGGTTACTTTTTCTATGGCATCTACTTCCTAGCTATATTAGTTGGATCAGTTAAGAACGCCTCACTTTTTCAAAAATATACCTTGAATTTGATCGGTTTTCGCGTATGTGACTTAAGCGAACCGATAAGGTGTCATTCAAGTATTCCTGTTTACTTGATTGAAACGTGATGTTCATGAAAGTCGCCTCGATGGATAACATGGAGTTAATAGACATGGCTGTGGTATTTGTTTTTTGCTGAGTCCCGTAGTTTTTTGTAAATTGTCCTCCAAAGTCGCCCCAAATTAACGTCTTGAGAAGTGTCACGACAGGCCTTCGCTCGAGTGAAGTTTAATTTCCGTAAAACTATGAAAAATAAAGAGATCCGATCAAACGGATTTTGGTTTTAGTATAGGTACATGAATGTCTTGCAGCACACAAGAAATGAGCTAAATCTGTCTCAAGCAAAATCAACCGGACCGCTCTTACAGA